ATCTCACTGATCTAATGGCACCCTGGTGACCTTCCAGCTGGCAAGCTAAATGACATGGCAAATCCAGCGCCATCTCCCCTTCTCACAGCATTATTCACTTTCGCGTTGGCAACATACCGGCACTAGCACTACTACAGATGAGGAGTTCAGACCGACATCTATTGTAAATCTTGACTTGTTATTTTTCTCTCATGCAGTCTTGGCAAGCTCGCTCGAAACTGGTTTCAAATTCTGCGGGGGAAGTCCCTGCCCTGGCCACAATGTCAGCAAAAGCTTGCGTCTCCAGACAAACAAGGATTTTTGTGTCGCATTTTTGCATGAGGCACAGCTTTTTGTATGCATGGTAACCTTTACCTTGGCAGCTAGCACTGAGTTCTTTGCACGCTGACTGATACAGATTACAGTGAATCAGTGATAGTGATAGTGATACAGGCACACAGCTAGCTAGCTGCAGCCTGCACTAGCTGGCTGCAGCGCAGGTGCAGACCGTATAATTTTAATAAACATACAACTTTACAAGTGCAGCTAGCTAACTAACTAGCTGCACTTGACAGTGAAAAGTAATATTAGTTGTGACGTTCTTATGTTGATTTGGATGATCATTATTGTGGCTGATATGCGTAGTATTATTAGGAAGCTACTCAGACAGCTGTAGCTAGATGTCAGGCCAGGATCTAGGAGTAGATCTCACTTTCTCAGGCCGCCTCTCAGCTCACGAAAAAGTGAGTGGATTTAGTTCGCGACGTCGATACAGTCAACTTCGCTTATAACGACTGCGGATATAACGACAATTCACGAATAACGACAGCATTTCCATGCCCAGAGCAAAGTCCCTTCCAACTGTAATACATATAATGAGACTTCGGGTATAACGACACTTCGCGAATAAGGACACTTTTTTGATGCCCCGCCGAATGTCGTTATAAGCGAAGTTGACTGTACCTACAATTCTGGTGTCCTGGACCTGGGTGTACGTGTAGCGAGCAGACATCGACATCATAATACTGTAGTACATGGTGTATCTGCGTCTAAAAGTACCAACCAAGTCATCGTCCTAAACGCTAAAGTCCCTTGTTCAACCCCGCTCGTGCGCCACTCGAACGGTGGGAAGCGGAGTGGAACACAGCTCCTGTACTGTAGCGGCTTGCTTTGAACTCAAAGAGCCTCGTTGAACTGGACCACTCTTTTTAGTTTTGCAGCTGGCAAGAACTAATGCTGAGCCACAGAGAGCAGTACTCAGTACAGACTCAGTGAAGTCAGGTTCCTGCTGCTGCATCTGACCATGAGATCATGATGGACCCGTGCTGTGGCGAATGGCAGAGGCGTTATGTGTGTGGACTAGCGAAACAGTGAAATGATTGCTTGTTACACCGTGACGATACAACAGGCAGCAGGGAAAAGGCAGCGCTTGAGAAGTAATTAGTTCGGGTCCAGGTCACTGAACAGAGAAGTAAACAGTGCTCAGCCCAGCTTGATTGATATGATAGGAGGGAGAATGCCATCGCATTGAACCTTTTTGACTCAGGTCATGCGTAAGCTGTGACCAGCCACCACTGTACTGCTGCTGATGCTGTTCCCTCTGATATCACTGTCAACGGGACACTCTGCCTGTCTGAGGTGAATAAGAAGTGAAAAGAGTTATCAATACTGCATGTTGGTATCGAGCACTTGTACAAGTTCATAGCTCCTGGACACAGATAAAACTCATTGGACAAGGCAGTTGTGAAGATTCGTAGAGATAATCATCACGGCTCGTGACACTCTGTCCAGGATAGTCTCTGTGGTCTTCTGACGTATGTGGCTACTGCGTGCGTACACGCACCACCGCCCAGCCACTGAGCCAGTATACAGCATTACCAGTAGAACATCGACAGTAGCGAGTTGTTTCTGTGTTCAAGCATACAACAAACTATCCTACCCGATCGAGCGCTCTGCACCGCGTTTTCACGTGTCTATCGTTGCTCATACTACGTAGTATCACCTTCACAGCAGCAGTAGCAGTAGGACCACTAGCAGGCGTGCACGTGTATGATCAGTCATCGGGTGAGCTGCTGCCGCACACTGTGACCATGGCCATGGCATCACCATCCATCAGCATGGAGCACGGCGGCACCACAGGGGATTCCCCCATTAGCCCGGGCCAAGTGTTGGCTACTGGCGACGAGGACACGGATGACAGACCTGGAACGACCGGAGGCACGACGAAGACGGAGATACCAACCGAGCTGGAGAGACTATCAGTAAAACCACCCGAGGAAGCTGATTCCGATGACGACTATGACGACGACAGGGACCGCGACGATAGTGACGACAAAGAGACGGGAGCACATCCTGAGCGTAGCAAGCTGCCGTTGCCCCACTTTAGCCGTCACCTGACCAAGCAGCGGATGAAACAGCTTGGCAAGCTGGAGGCGTGGCGCATGAACTCCGGGCACAGAGTCAGCGGTGAACTGGACGCGGCGGGCTTGCGGCCGTCAACGCGGTATCGGCAGGGCGCAGAGTACGCAGCGCTGGCCGGTGAAGACGGCATCCAGTCGGCTATGATGGGGCAGTTACACGCTGCTTGTGCCCGGGGCAGGCTGCACGAGAAACAAGATGAGATGAAGCTCCTGGACGCCTTTGATATGCACTTTGTGATGCAGAATACAAACGGTGCGTTGCGCTCAGCTTATTTGCGGGGTTTGGCTGAGGTAAAAGAGGCGAAAACAACCTACGGCAAGGGACTTTCCCAAGCAGGCTCAAGACGCCTCAACCAAATCATGAACGATGGTTCCGGTGGCCTCTCCATGCAGCGTGACCAAACGCGCGTGAAGTTTTTGCACCGAGATAGGTGACCATGATGGCTGCCGTTGCCTTCACCCGTCTGTCTCAATTTGGCGTTGCCTGTCCAGATTAGATGGTGATCAGTCGCTATATGCTGACACAGTCCGTGTGATAAGCACTAAAAGTGTCTGTTTTCGTGAAACACCCTGAACCCGGCTGGCCCAAGTGTGGTGTATTGACACCGGCACAACAGAGAGACAACTAGCACGCATTCAGGTGCAATCGGCGATTTCTCTCCCGGCTGATTGCCTACAACACTGTACTGCTGCTTAGCGAGAACTACACTTGGTGCCGTCAAGGCGCACTGGCGATTGAGGCTGACAAACTTCGAGGCGATTGGAATGACTGGTTTCTTCCTCTAGCTTCTGCCAGTGGCCATACATGCGGTGCACACAAGCGACGGCATGCAGGTCGGGCCTTGTTGCACCTGACCTTGTTGCAGGGTTGGGCTAATGGAGATCACATGGTGCTGTGAGGGATGTGTTGTGTCCAAGGACTCCTATGCCCGTTATTCCTGCAGTCCGAAGCTGGTGTTATGCTACTGTGACCCAGTACGGACGCCAGCCATGGAGTAATGTGCTGCACTGAAACAGATCCATTCACGGTCAGCCGTTGAGACTGCAGTGTACCCAGGAGCACGCCAAGTTGTGCCATGTATCAAACATTGCCCGGCTCAGTTTGTGTTGAAGACCAACACACTGCACCCATCCCAGTGTCTATCCTGGCGGCTGACTGTCAACACGTCCCAGCCCCGCCGGCCATGCAATCATAGAAAGCGATGCTGTGCTGAACATCCAGCTAGGGAACAGCACTCGGTACACCTGTACCCTCCTGGGGCAACTGTCTCGATTGGCGGGAAAACACACAATGAATATTACGGTCAGGTCCGGTGGCTACAGTCCACGCGATGGTGTATCTTGCCTAGCTTGTGCAGTTTTTTTGAAATGAGACTAAAATGCCGTCACGTCACTGTGTGTACAATACATGATGCATCACACCGTGCCACGCAGATCTATGTCGGTGTACAGCCCATGCAACCAATGCTACATATTATGCCAAACTGTTGAGTGCCACAGGGGATTTTCCCTTCGCTTGTCTACAAGTCTCAGTCATCTTGTAGTTGTAGAGCTGTTGCGAGTCCTGCACTTGGAAATTAACTTTTAAAAGCATTCCGTACTCTCTGGACGGTGTGAGTCCGGTCTTGAGATTTTCCAGCCTAGCTAATATCAAGTTTATCAACCCACGTGTATCTGATGTTTCACTCGTGCTGCCGCTGCTGTTCATCGTGATCCACTCGTTTGCTCCGAACTGTCAGGTGGCAGTGTCCCTTGCCGGGTTGCATGCACTGTGGTGCGCGGTGGTATGTACAAACGTGCCTGCTGTGTGCAGTGGAGCAGGAGATGCAGCTCCACTACACTACAGTGTCGATAGTCAGCATCTGTCGGGGTTTTTCCGGCAGTTTGATTTATGGCTGTACTTCAGTGTAAATACTCCATTGTAAAGTACATTTTTGAAGAGTTTCAATCAGGGAGTCACAGGCTCCCCAGTCAACCAGGACCAATGGAGTGACAACTGCCAGTGGTTTCAAGCAAGATGCATGCGTCCATTTTTAAAACCATGGTAACAATGTGCGTGTTAAATGCAAACTCATCCCGGCCCAAGAGTCTGAGACATTGCACCCCGACTGCCACAGACACAGTCATGATGTTAAGTAAAGATACTATTAATTTCCTGTGCTTTATCAGATGTCCCAGGTGAGAGGCTGATAGACTAAGCAAAGCCTTTCAATTTGTCTCATGGGGCAAAAGAAATGAACACAGCCCTGCCAGTTCATTGGCAGACCAATGACAGGAACAAAGCAACAATTATCATTTTGACTGTTGCATGCACCACATGGGGGGGGGGGGGGGTAGCGTACGCAATTGTTGGGGATTGCACCACCATAGTGTTGTGCACACAGCAACCAAAGCAACCCGGCATGATTGTCAGTTTTACTTTTCCAGCGGCCTAGTCAGCTCAGCGCTGGTATACGCAAAGCGAATAGCATCTCCTGCAGTCCTCCCACTTTACGCAGCTCAATCCCAATCCGGTCTTTCATGCTCACGTACACACGGCATACATGTACGGTACATACACATTACTGCACATTGCAGCTACAGCCACTGCACTGGTTGGTGTGTCGTGCGGAAAATATATTAAAAAATCAGAATTGAGACCCAATTTCAAAGTTCAAAGGTGCAAAAGTAAAAACAAAAGGTCGGTTACATACCTACAACTAAAGGCTTATGAATTTTGCAGAACTGCATTGCAGCATATACTGATGTAGGCTTAAAAGTGCTTCCTATTCTCGTGTTCATGTGTACCAAAAACAAATATCAACTTAACGTTTAAAAAAACCCATCCTGTGTCGCATGCAGCCTCCGGTGTGAATTGAATTCAGGCGAATACACACATGAGACGTTGACGCGATTGGCTTAGCAAGTGTGACCTGCCACATGCGTACACACCGATGGTGGTCAGGGAAGAGTCACAGGTGAATGGTGCAAAAAGAAATTACTCAAAATAACACTGGTCTAAGTGATGGCGTTAATTAAGCTTCATCAAAAGACAGGAAGAAGAAAATTCGTCTTGTCTAAAGCTATTCGACCAGTCTCGATACGTGCAACGGTGTGTTCCTAAGAGTTCACAAAAGAAGAAAACAAAATGTCAGGATGCGACCTGAAAAGACAAAGGCGAAGTTCTTGTTTAGTTGATGACACGTGTCTTGTCACTGAAGACGCCGACAGAGTCATACAACTGATCATCTTCGCCTTCAGCATACATGGGGTTGTGCTTGACTTCCTCTGCAGGATCACCTTCACTGTACATGGGGTTCTGAATACCACCGCCGTGTGTCAGCTGCTCACTACCGGCGTGAAACTGCATGGCATCGTCAAACTCCCGTGGGCCGCCGCTCTGTTTCTTGGGCCTGGAAAACGAGTGGAAGGAAATGCACACAGGGTTACTTTCAATGAGGAACTGTGTGTTGCTCCCTATACACGGGAGTTCACGCTTCCTTGCAACTCTTCTTCCAACTTTGTTCAATACTGTGCTTCATGCGCCTACTGGTTAGTCCATATCCTCGTGCAGGTATAGAGTGAAGGAAAACAAATCGTTGTCGCTGCTACTCGGAGCTTCACTCGTAAGCAATCATCAGACATCACTGCCTGCCTATGTGTGTGGTGTGTATGGTGTACGTGTGTGTGTGTGTGTGTGTGTATGTGTGTGGTGTGTGTGTGTGTGGTGTGTGTGTGTGTGTGTGTGTGTGTGTGTGTGTGTGTGTGTGTGTGTGTGTGTGTGTGTGTGGTGTGTGTGTATGTGTGTGTGTGTGCACGGGCACGGGATGCTTACTTTCTGCGTATAACCAGGATCAGGATGATAATCAGGACGAGCAAAGCACAGCCGCCGATGATGATACCTATCAACTGAGGCGTAGAGAACTCTGCGAGAATGCAAAAACAAAACACACACACACACACACACAAAACACACACAAAGCACAAAGCACAAACAAAGAAATTCACACAAGTACACATTTCGAAGTAGACGGCATGCACACAGAAGAATACGACACACAACTTTGGGTACTAGTAAGTGTGGGTACGTGGGTTTCCACACTGACCACTACTAGTATGGGATGTTGTTGTTCCAGACTCATTTTTCAGTGCTATTGGGTTCAGCCATAGTTCACTCTGCTCAGCAGCTAGCCGGTCCGTGAAGACTTAACCAATTTTGTTCACACACTGGATATCGATACCCCGTACTACACTGCCTGAGTGGAGCGCTAGCGCCGAGACTTCTGGTCGGCTGACGGCAACAAACCTCGCCATCACTATGCTCCCATTACGGAACTCGTTGAGTATTTGTCTGTGAGCTGTGACCAGCGCAAAAAATATAAGATAAAAAGCCACCAAGACCTCTGGTCGGTTGAGTTGCTCCCGGTATATCGACATGTCCTCTCTACACCTCCGTTGTCTTGTCCTACGCTGGTATCCACATGTTTTTCAGTACGGCTGTGTTCTTAAGAAAGGGTTTGCTCCCCACACCGGAGCTCGCGCTATTCCGCCGACTTTACTTGACACTTGACTGACTCCAGAGCACACGAGAAGGCCATCGAACCTTCGACTCGGCAAACCTGCAAGAAAGCACCACTCCCTGCTCAATACACAGTGTTTCGGGGAATTCACCCTTCATCAGTTGAGCTTGAGTAGGCTGAGGAAGATTGTGCCTGAAGAGCACCACTTATATAGTGCTCTCCAGGCACAAACATCACCAGGGATACAAACTCACAGAGACGCTCCATTTCCAGCGCGACAAACACCGAGTCGAGTCGAAGGTTCGATGGACTTCTCGTGTGCTCTGGATGGCAGTCGTGAGTCAGTCAAGTGTCAAGTAAAGTCGGCGGAATAGCGCGAGCTCCGGTGTGGGGAGCAAACCCTTTCTTACAAATCATCGTCGAAGTCGCAACCACTACTTCGGACTGTGTTCTTCTTAAAAATAAAAATAAATACAATACCCGGCGGAGGATGCACTCAGTGTGCTGACAGTGCTCAACACCGCGGCGGAGGCAGAGCTTACACAGAACAAGAAGGGCAAGCAAGTCTAGTTTGTGGCTACTCCGAGCTTCATGCTTAGGCATTGCCCGCTGATGATTGAGTGAGCATGAAACGCAGCGGGTTAGCAACAAGCTAGCCTTGCTTGCCCTGTGTGGTGCTGTGTAGAAAATAGAACTACTGTATAGCAGGACATTTTCGGACGGAAATATCTTCGGACAAAGCCGAAATTCGACCTTTCGTACGGATTCTATTTTCGTACAGTAAAATAAAAAGTAAATTATCACGTCCGTTCCCGAAGGGAACTCACAACGGCCGCTAACACCCGATAAACCCTAGCGGCAGATGCAGCGCCTAATGGTGGGGGTGAGTGGATACGTCTCACAACCACTGGCACAAGTGCCGAAAACGACCCCATTAGCTGCATTCGTACAGTGCTGCATACTAAATGCACGTGTTCGCAAGCAGTACGCATGTATAGTGTACATACATGCAATTTCACATGAACAAATTTTAGTACGGAATTTATTTTAGTACAAAAGAGGCCGTGTACGAAATCGTACGAAAATAAATTCCGTCCGAAAATTTCCTGCTGTACAGTAAATCAAAACACTGTAGTGTGCAGCAGAGTGACTCTTGTATTGTACCTGATGCTTTCTCGGGCACCTTCTGTGCCTCGGTGACAACGTTGAGCTCGAGTCCGGTGATGGCCAGCTGTAGAGAAGCCGTGTCCTTCAGGGTCAGGTTTAGAGCGTCAGTTGCTACGATCATCAACTGCAACAACAACAACAACAACAACAACAACAACAACAACAACAACAACAACAACAACAACAACAACAACAACAACAACAACAACAACAACAACAACAACAGCAGCAGCAGCAGCAGCAGCAGCAACGACAACAACAACAACAACAAAAACAACAACAACAGCAGCAGCAGCAGCAGCAGCAGCAGCAACAGCAGCAGCAGCAGCAGCAGCAGCAGCAGCAGCAGCAACAACAACAACAACAACAACAACAACAACAACAACAACAACAACAACAACAACAACAAAGGGAGACGGCAAGAAAGCAATAGAAGACATTAGTTAGTGATGTGGCGTCACCACCAGCATTGCAAGAACAACACATTATTCTTGTGAAACGCCAGCATGGTGAGAACTAAGACACAACATCAAAGTACATGAAGTACGGTAAAACTCCCCAACAATCTGGACTCCCCAGATCCAGGCACCTTTCTGACGCCTCATTGGCTTTTTCTTGAAAAACGACACCTAGAAAGTACTGATCGGCACAAGAAGTGGTTACTTGCATGCAATCAGAATGCGTAGGCTCTGAGTTGGGGCAATTCCTAGTCCGGGGCAGTGCCCGGTCCCGACCTGCCCGGACAAGGGGAGTTCTACTGTGATGCAGATAGTTCACGATCAGGAGTATACATGTACATGTATTCCCTGGTTTGAGGAGTATACATGTAGTGAGCAATTTCCCACAACTCTTGCTAGCACGTACACCGTAGTATAGCCAATACAACTATGCAAGTGGAGAAAAAAGAAAGAATATTCTATAGAAAAGGAAAAGGACCAAGGAACCAGAAGTTATGCTATATTGTCCACTAACACCACCAAGTTACTAAACAATCAGCTCATGCGATAACATTGCACGACACTGACCGGCGGTACTGACGTTCTACAAGTAACTGGCCGACAAAGAATGTTCCGCTTTTTTTTAGTAGTGGTAGTATTCTTTTATTTTCGATCGGAAGCCTCAACAGTGATGAATACAACTCTTAAAAGGGCCGATAACAGAGTAGAGGGGTGCTTTATGCATTTGAGTAACAAATTGCTTTGATAAATAATGGTCAGAGTACAACGCAGCACACTGTTATCGTTAACTCACGGTAAACTCGCTGGTATCGGCTAAGATTGGGCTGTTTGTGACCGAGACCAGGCCAGTGGCGCTGATTCCAATGAAATCTTGGAGCTGCACCAAGCCTGGCATGCTGTACAGGATGTCACCGTTGGTGCCAATGTCCACATCAGTGGCATCCATCTGTGTGCACAAACACATGTGTGCATGTGCGTGCACGCGCGCATGTGTGTGTGTGTGTATGTGTATGTATGTATGCGTGTGTGTGTGTGTGTGTGTGTGTGTGTGTGTGTGTGTGTGTGTGTGTGTGTGTGTGTGTGTACAGGTGACAGACAAGACATTTTGATCAGGCACGCATACAGGACAAACCAACAAAATACATAGGCTGTAAGCAAGGACGATGCTCCACTTCCTGAAAAGCGCTTTTAAAATGCCCATGTCAGGCAGGGCGTTCGACACTAGAAAGAGGGGAGGGAGGGGAGAGGGAGAGGGAGAGAGAGACTTTCAACAATCTAATACTGAGACTGGAATGACTAAAACAAAACCCACAGTACGGCATTCTACACATCAAGACTACTCACCTGAGCAATACTGGTGCCAACATCGGCATTGGCGCTGATTGTAGCGGCGTACAGGCGTGTCGAGAACTTGGGACCGTTGTCATTGTCGTCGAGGACTTCAATGTCCACTTGGCACAGTGCCGTGTAGATGCCATCGCTGACCTGGACGGTAAGATCGTACTTGCTCGTCTTCTCGCGGTCCAGCGGAGCCAGGGTGGTGACAGCGCCGGTCGCAGGGTTGATGGTGAAGAAACTGTTTGGGTTTGTCAGGCTGTACGTCAGAGTGGGATTCAGGTCGGCATCCATGGCAACAGGTCGCACGGCAAACGCTCCCGCCGGCTGATTCTCCAGCACGGTGCCGTTATAGATGGGGAACTGGAAGACTGGCGGACTGTCGTTGACGTCACCCACGGTGATTGTGAGGTACGAGTAGGCATCCATTGGAGGCACGGCCTGATCCATGGCCACAACCACTACGGAGTACACGGAGCGTGTCTCTCTGTCCAAGCTTTGCTCCAGCTCAATGACACCGGAAGACGGGTCAATCAAGAAAGGACCGTTGTTGACGAAGCTGTACGACAGAATGCCGTCCGTACCTGTGTCCAGATCCGTGGCACGCACGGTGATGATGCTTGTTCCGATAGAAGCGGCTTCGCTCACGGATGCGGATGAGTTGACTGGATTGAAGACGGGCGCGTGCTCGTTGATGTGCGTTAGCGTAATTGTCAAGTGCATGGTAGACATGAGGTTGAGCGTGTCTGTGGCAATGATGGACAGCGCGTACACAGTCTGGTGGTCGGCATTAAGCGGTATCTTAGGCTGCACGGCTCCATTGGTCGAGTTGATCTTGAACGGCGACTGAGAGCTAGCCAGGGAGTAGGTGATGGCTCCTTGTCCCGTGGCCGAGGCTGTGAACAGCACCGTGTTGGCCTGGACGGTGTCCGATTGCACAATGGAGTAAGATGTGTGCTCAAACACCGGTGCCTTGGCGTTGGCTGGTAGGACGTTGACTGTGACGGTGGCCGTGGCCGTCATTGCTGGCGTGCCACTGTCCGCTGCTTGGACCGTCAACGTGTACTTGGTGGTAGTCAGCTGTGAGAGAAGGTGAAGAACTTCAATCACGCCGCTCGTTGTCATGGTGAATCTCTGCTGTGGATCGCCCGACAGGATGGAGTAGGTGAGGCCGGCCGTGCCTAGGACTCCTTGATCGGCGTCTGTGGCGCGCACAGCCACAATGCCCGTCCCCGGTGACGTGTTTGCCGACGCAGTGGTGGTGTACGTTTTCGGACTGAACACCGGCACATTGTCGTTGACATCGTCGACGTACACATAGACGGTGCAAGTGTCGGAGAGCGGTTTCGGTGCTCCGTCAGTAGCCTGGATCCAGAACACTACATGGTCAGTTGTCTCTTTATCCAGAGCCGCGGTCATCGTCAAGGCACCGGTGGCAGAGTTAAGACTGAATCCGGCCGGCGCCGGTGCCACAAAGCTGTAGGTAACAGTCCCCTTAAGGCCCGTGTCACGGTCCGTCGCGCTCACCATTCCCACGGCAACGGGAACCTTGGCATTCTCCGCCATATGATACGTATAGGTGGCCTGCACAAACGTCGGCTTGTGATCGTTCTTGTCGATTACGTTGACAGTGACCGAGGCATTGGACACTAGTGGGTAGAGAACATCGTTCTTGGCGCTAATCACGACAGTGTACTGCGATTGCTGCAGCGGGTTCAGCACTGCGCTGGTGTACAGTGTTCCTGTGTACGGATCGATGCGGATAACACCGTCGCCGCCTGAAATCATGCCGAAGATTACCTTGCCGTTGTTGCCTGCGTCTGCATCGGTGGCCATCACTCTTCCAAGTCGTGTACCCGCCGGGTCGCTCTGCGTTACGGAGAACACGGCATTGCGAGATGTCGTGGTGAACACTGGGGCATTGTCGTTGAAGTCCATAACGGATACGACCACCTTAGTCATGCCGACCAGTGCGGACACTGCGCCTTCGGGAGTGTACGTAGCCACAACGGTGAGTGTGTAGGTCTTGGTGGTCTCGGCGTCCAGGGAACCTGACACCACCAGATCGCCGGTGGTGGAGACGACTGTGAACTGGCTCGGTGATCCACTGGCAAGTGAATAGACCAGATCACCGCTACCCTCAGCACCCGGCAGGGTGGCGCGCGGCTTCAGAATGGTGCTCATAGGTGCAATGTTCTCGTAGACGGATACGGCATACTGGCTCAGCGTGAAGATGGGGTTGCTCTGCGGTTGTACAGTGGTGATGGTAACAGTCAGACTAGCTTGGCTGGTTCCCGACGAACTGAGCGCGTTGATCTTCTCCGAGACGGTTCCAGTCTCTGGTAACATTGCTCCAAGTGTAACGATGCCGGCTGACGTTACGTTCAAGTACTTGTTGCCCGCTGCCGCAGCGTATGTGATGCCTGCGGTGCCAAAGGTGCCGGTGTCGGCGTCCGTAGCGGAAACATTCATCAGCCACACGCCAGGGCCGGCCTGCGCATTGATCATCAGTGCCATTGCGGCCGGGTTAAACACTGGCACATTGTCATCGGTGTCGTTCACTCGGATCACGACGAAAGACACCGAGCTCATGGAGTCGTTGCCGAAGCTGTCCTGGCAATGCACAACCAGCTCGTATCCACGCTGCGCTTCGAAGTCAACCGCTCGGGTCAACGTGATGACACCTGTGGTGCTGCCAATGGCAAACGTGCTTTGTGCACCGAAAAGGAGGCTGTAAGTAAGACCGGCGGGACCGGGGTCTTGGTCGGTGGCACTGACGGTTGCCACGGTAGTGCCTACTGCAGCGTTCTCGGCAACACTGCCTGTGTAAGTGACGGCGGTGAAGACCGGCGGGTACGTGTTGCTATCGGTTACCGTCACGTTGATCTTTGCTGAGGACGACTTAGCCGGAGTGCCACCATCGGTGGCCGTCACAGTCAACGAGAAGGACTTCTGTGTAGCAAAGTCCAGCTGTGAAGTCAACTCCAGGATGCCGGTACTGCTTTGAATGGTGAACGCTGTGCTGGAAGACAGAGCGTACATCACTTGCCCATTGCTGCCGTCGTCAGCATCGGTGGCAAGGAGCTGGCCCAGAGCGGTGCCGTAGGCGGCTGCCTCGCTGATTGAGAACGTGTAGGTTGCGTGAGCAAACTGCGGTGTATTGTCGTTGACATCGATCACATCAACACTGACTGTGGCGGAGCCAGTCTGCGCGGGAACTGCCCCGTCCACCGCCACCACTTGGAACACGTACGGGTCGCGGAACTCTCGATCTAGCGGCTGCTGCGTGGTGATCACTCCGGTGGTGATGTTGATGTCGAAGGCGCTAGCATCACCACCTCTGGCCAGGGAATAGCGCATCGGATTGGGATCCTTATCAGTAGCCAGGACAGTCACGACCGACAGACCTGCTGCACCATTCTCTGCCAGTGACGCGTAGTAGTTATGCAGGGTGAAGACAGGCCGGTTGTCGTTTGCATCTTGCACGTCCACCTGCACCAGGACACTGGACGTTCTGGGAGAGCTTGCCATATCGGACGCCGTAACAGTGAAGTTGTACTGCTTGATGGTGTCGTAGTCCAGGGTATTCGACAGGAAGAGTGCTCCTGTCCGGGAGGCGATCGAGAACAAGCCTGCTGTCGTTGGTACAACATTACTAAGGCTGTAAGTCACCTGAGCATTACTACCCAGATCTGCATCAGTAGCTGACACCTGGCCGAAGACAGTGCCAACAGGTGATGCCTCGGACTCCATAATCCGGTAGAGGGGTGATGAGGGCCGCACAAACTTGGGCGTGTTGTCGTTGACATCAATTACTGTGATGCTCATTTTACATCCCGACGACGGACCAGACACTACGTTAGAGACCTGGTGTACAGGAAAATACACACAAACAAACACACATACACACACACACACACACACGCGCAGGCACACATGCACGCACGCACACACACACACACACACACGCGCACACACACATACACACATATACAGACACACACACGCGCACACACACACACACACACATACACACACACACACACACACAAGCACACAAGCATACACTTTACCTTTTCGCTGCCAAGCACTCTGGCTTTCTCTCGAAGACAGGTGCCTGGTGTGACAGGTGACAAGCTGGCAAGTTAAATAATGCTACAACAAACAGTCTGCTTGCCTTAGTACTCTCAGAGGGCTCAGAGAGCTACGACCACATGATGCATGATTCAGCAAGATCCAATACTGCCACCACTCAGCCATTAGGCCCAAAGCTGGTGTCAACTCGTCCTCACGCAAGGTACTTCGAAGTACATGTATGAGATGTGTGAATTGTGGTGCTGTTCGGAATCGGCTTTTGTACCCCTATGCTCATGACAACTATTAGCACCTCAATGGGAAATGGGGACACAAACGTACCACGAATGTCAGCAAGATAGATGAATCCGTCTCCCTGTCAATAGGCTTGTTAACGATAATGTTCCTGTTCGTAGAATCAAGTGCAAAGTATCCCTTTTGGTTGCCGTTGGAGATTCTGAAGCGATATTGCGCATTCACTCCAATATCCTTGTCAGTGGCTGCAATGGCTCCCACCAGGGTTCCTTTGGGGCTGTTCTCCACCACCGTGTATGTGTAAGTGGAGCGGGTGCACATTGGAGCGTTGTCATTGCGATCCAAAATCGTGATAGAAATCTTGGACGTAGCCGTCTTGGTAGCATTTGCCTTGTTAGTGGCGAGCAGAGACAAGCTGTAGGATGCAATTGCCTCTCTGTCAGGTGATTTTACTACAGTCAGCCTGCCAGAGTTGGCGTCCAGGCTGAAGTGATCCTTGTTGGCACCTTGGGGCATTGAAGAACAAGACAAGCCCACAGAGACACTATATCATTGCAACAACAGCACTGACATCGTTTGTCGCAACATTGCATGAACCGCGTCTTTAACTACAGTGGAGGCAAATGAAATCCAGCTCCACGACTAAAGCAGAGCCGCAGTTCACTGCACAGTGGCCTGTTCACAATGCTTGGTTTGTGCAGTCCTGGGACTATTATATTCTTGGGGTTGGATTTTACTTACCAGCACCATGGTATAATACAACCTCTTTCAAAAGACGGCATGTGTAGAAGCAGAATTTGTCATTGCAATCAT